GACCTTTCCTTTTAGTCTTTATCAGGGAGGCCACGAGGGAAATGACAGTGCTTCAGTACGTCCAGAGCATTTCTGCACAGCAGTGATGCTATGCCAAGCATGCCAAAAATAATAGAAAAATCTACAAGATGAGTTAAATGCATATTTTCTTTATGTATTTTTCTTCTGACATTGACCTCCTATGACCCTCAATCCTGTTCATTCACAATATAATTCCATATAATGCCTACAGGGATCATTTTACAATGTAAACATACTGTTAGCATTCATTTGTCAAATCGAAAACACTCTTGAATCTCAACTCTCAGGCCATTATGAAGCTATTCTTCCCCAGTCGCCCTTCAATCGATACACTTGAGCCACAGAGGAGGAATTAGCTCCTAATAAGCTGCAGATATTAAAGATCATTATGCAACACTTTCTGTACACAGTATCTCTATAGATACTAGACTGGCCACATTGTTGTGCAGTTTGTGCTGAGAGCTGTGAAGAGTGCAGACGCTTGTCGTTTCAGCACAAAGACCCACTTGAGGAAGGACTAACTGGAAACAGGCCAATCGATGGATAATCACACAGCTGAAAAATACCTCCAGCCCTCCCTTTTCCAAAATATTGCTGCTGTAAACAATGCTGATGTAATGATTTATTTTGTCACTCTCATTCCAAGTGGACATTGTAAACATTTATCTATGAGAACAGAGGCCCGACTTTCATAATAACAGTTGCCTGATAAGTCATCTCGTGGTCTCCCTGTACAGACAGTGAATGGATATGGGGGCACTGTAATAAAGATTTGAACAGCTCCTTTGTGGGGGGAAAACCTTTCTGCTTGGTACACAACAAGCTTTTGGTAATTACCACAGTGCCAGAGAGCATATTAATAAATTCATGAGCTCTGACTCAGGTAATTAACTCATTGTTTAGTAATTAGAGATCAGGAGGGAGAAAAAGAGAATGAAAAAGAGAAAATGAGGAGAACATTTGTAGGAGTTGAAAAAAAATCAGCAAGGGTGAGAGGATGTGAATAAAAGCAAAGGGAATTATTAGGGATGTCAAAAATACAAAATTAATATTAACATAAGAAATATGTAATAAGAAAAAAGTGAAATATAGAAAAAATATGAAAATGAAAAATTTAGAAAAATGGAACCTACTCATTTCAAATACAGGCCTGCTTGTCAGTTAAACTTTGCAATGAATCCGTATTAAAGGCACAATATGTAAGATTTTTTAATTAAAATATCCAAAAACCACTAGAACAGTGTTATATATTTTGCTGACTTGTGTACTTACATTATCCCAAATGTTTCGAAGAATGTTTAAATCCAGAGAAATAAGCAATTTTAACTAGTTACACGGACCGTGTCCATAGTGTCATTGTGTCGCCTGCCAATGACGTCATACACCCTCGATTTCCGGTTTTGTTTTGTAGAAAACATGGAAACACCAAAGACGCTTTAATATGTTGTGCGCTTTAATAGACCGGTGACGACCGCACAGAGTAGCATTATAACAGAACTTTCAAACGTATCGAGTATGATAAAACAGCACTGCTTTACCCCACATACGCACGACCGGAAGGAGCAGAAGCGGTCGACTGTGACACAATAAAAGCTACGCTGTTTTTGAGCCGTGTGTCACGCTCGCTCAGCGGCCTCGTTTCGCTTCGACGGCTTTCAGCCTCACCCTGCTTCATTCTACTACGTTAATAAATCATTAGCTCATCCATGAACATGATTTCTGCCCGAGTCCCGTCGGATTGCATCGGCTGTGGGGATGAAGACAACAACTACCATGATTTCACGTGTCATCAAACTACGCCTTTTTCTATTTGTTTATTTTGAATACGCGCCCTCTAGCGGCGAAAATTACATATTGTGCCTTTAATGTAATTTACACTACCGTTCAGAAGTTTAGGATCAGCGATTTTTTAAAAATAAATTAATACTTTAATTCAGCAAGGATGCATTAAAGACATTCATAATGTTACAAAAGCAGAAACCCAGTTTCAAATAAATTATGTTATTTTAAACTTTCTATTCATCACAGACTCTTGGAAGAAATGCATTATGGTTTCCACAAAATTATTTTTAAGTCGCTGTTTTCAACACTGATAATGCAAATCAGCATATAAGATTAATTTTACAGTATAATGATTTCTGAAGGATCACTAAAGATTGGCGTAATGCCTGCTGAAAATTTAGCTTTGACATCACTAAAATAAATCCAGCTGAAATCAATCTTTCATTCTCCTTTATTTGGATTGTACCAGTGTTTAAAAGGGATAATGTAGAAGGATAATTGAGAAGCACTTGCTTTAATTTTATTTGTTAATATTAGTATTAATATTTAATTTATAATACAGTTACCAAGCTATTATCGCAAAATTGCCAAACAGTGTATTCAGGACCTGACTGCACATTATCCTGTTTTAAACATTGGTATAAACCAAATAAATAGGGATGAAATATTGATTTGAGCTGGGTTTATTTTAGTTTGTGAGAAAAACAGAGACTGTGGAGTGATACAAAAGACATAAAATGTAATTATGTAGAAAATTGGTTTGGCGGCCATTATTCAAGAACATTTGACTACAAAAGTTAAATTTTACACAGCTATTTCTAAGAAAAAATAGCTCTATACCCCACTCCGCTCACATACCCTGTGGTACATGTTCAAAATGTTACTATCGACTTGGTACCAAAGTATCAGTACTTTTGACATCCCTAATAAAAAAGGTTGAGAAACAAAGGAAAAGGATGCTGTAGAATGTCACCGAATGAAGGGGAAAGAGAGACTGAGTGGTTTTCCATTTAGACTGACCAGGGGGGACTGGAGGAGAAAATGAGGGCGTGTGAACTAACACTGACACCAGAGGCAGAGAGAGATCCCTGTCAGAGCTCAAAGCTGAACAGACACTCCTGACGGGTTTATCCACGCACCACTGGGCCCGACTACAGCTCCACCAGCATCAGATCCTGTCCCCACAGACACACTACACGCATACACATAGCCAATCTTACACCGCATATCACATCCACGTTCAGTCTATATGTGCACTGACACGCTCTGACAGGCTGGAAGCTTCTTCCTTTCCAAACAGGAGCTGGTAGATGAGTTCCACGACAGAAGCTAAACTATTTCTACTGTCTTACGGCCCTGAGAGGAAAAACAACTTGTGAAGATCAAACCTTCAATGAGGAAAAGGTGAACCACTCTTGACTAAAGTGACCCTAATACATTTCTATGGCAGGAGTTGTTGTGGAATGAGAACATACACTACATTTCAATAGTTTGGGGCCTTCAAGATTTTTTTTTTTAAAGAAATTAACACTTTTATTCAGCAAGGATGCATTAAATTGACAAAAGTAACAATAAAGACCTTTATAATGTTACAAAAGATTTTATAATAAATAAATGCTGCTCTTTTGAATTTTCTGTTCATCGATTTATCGAGAAAAATGTATCATAGTTCCCACAAAATTATGAAGCATTTGTTTTGAAACAACTGTTTTCAGCAATGATAATAATAATAATTAATTTCTTGAGCAAATCAGCATATTAGAATGATTTCTGAAGGATCATGTGACACTGAAGACTGGAGTAATTATGCTGAAAATTCAGCTTTGCCATCACAGGAATCAATTTAAATACAAATCAAATAGAAAACGGTTATTTTAAACAAAATATTTCACAATATTACTGTTTTTACTGTACTTTTGATCAAATAAGAGCAGCCTTGGTAAGCATCAGAGACTTCACACACACACACAAATGTATAAATAAAGCTTACTGACCAAACCTTTGAATGGTAGGTTGGTAAAATATGGTGAAATGTGATAAACAGAGCTGATAGTATTACAATATTATCAGTAGGGATATGCACAAACACATATTTCACAAATTAATTTGTCATTGTCTGTCCGAATTACATTTCTTATTTTCTTATGGGTCATTCATTCCTATAAGACACTACCTTCCCTTCAAATGTTTTTTTGATTTTTTATATTTTTGTACTTAAAAATAGGGTATTTATACAACCAGATGCTGAAAAACCATCCAAAGACTGTCCTACTGCAAACATATACAAGCACCAACACAAACACTAAAAATTTTTTTAGCTGAAACCAAGAACATGGAGCCATCTGAACAACATTTAATGAATAAACAGGCGAATTATCTACCTGTAATTGCTGTAAACCATCACAGCTTGCTGGACAACTTGTTAACTATCCTGCTCATTCCTAATTATTCATAGCTGAAAATATTACCAAATTAAAGGAATAGTTCACCCAAAAATGAAACTTTTGTCATCACGTCAGTCTAAAGTTGTGACTTTATATACAGAACACAAAAGAAGATATTCTCAAGAAGGTCTCATTGTTTTTGTGAAGTCATTGGAGTCTAGTGTCAATCCTGAAAATATCTAATTTTGAGTTTAGCAGAAGAAAGTCATAAGGGTTTGAAAGAACATGAGGATGAGATTTTTTTTCTTTGTTTTCATTTTTTGGGTTAAATATTTCTTTAAACATAGACTGCATAGACTGGAAATCACAGGACAAAAAAAACAATAAAACAGAGAGGATTCCAGACAACTATGTGATGATGACAAAGACAACTGGAGGTAGGAACAAATACCAAAACAGTGAGTGGAAAAAGAGGAAGTGCAGTGTTGAGTAAGCAAGTGAAAGACAGATAACAAGTGATCGAAGTATAGCAGGAAAGAAGAAGAGAAACATAGACACTTAATGCATTTTCGCACAAATGTGTGATGAGGCTGACCTCAACTGAGGAAAGGAGAGAAAACGCTCCACGTTTTTTCCAGTTGTCAGAAAATCCTACTGGGCAGAGGACAACACACAAGCCTCTCTTTCATAAGAGGTCTATTACGAGTACATCTGTTTTGAAGTTAAGGGTAAAAAAGCTTGACCCAAGAAAGAATGAGTCTCGTGCACAAGCCAATCCAGAAACATTCAAGTGAAAGTAAACTGCTGTCTTACCACAGGTGGATCTTAACCAGGTTCAATCGGAGAGGAGAGTCCAGATGAAACCACTGGGACGGGGATGGATAAATCTCTCCTCCTGTTGTCTGAGGGGACGGCTCGTGATTCCCACTCTGTCGGTCCACGTCTGCGTCTGCCTGGCTCCAACAACCCTCACCATTCCCTGCCACATACAAAAACAAAGAGCTTTACACTTAAGCAATCAGGTCCCAGTGGCTGTGCTACATTATATTACCCTATATTGTACTGCTAGACTGTATATTTGATCATGATTGGAATGCTTTTCTGACTAATTAACATCCAGAACTAAAACTGCATTTTATTAACAGAAATTTGTGTTAATTGACTATATACAGCATCAATTTGAGAAACATATTTTATATTTTATGTATAATAAAATAAATGTGTTCTGAGATCCTCTTATAATCCCACCATCACTCCTCTTGAATATGTAACCAAGGTAACAGGAGACTAGTTGAGAATGTACTTTAAATAGTTTCAGCCGTATGAACCAGCAAGACACCTTAGGGTTGGGATTTCCTTTACTATATCATCCATCGAAAATAAAAAAGATCAATTAATTAATCAGTTAATTAGTCAATAATCAATCAATAAATTGCTAATGTTACCCTTAAAAGCACATTTAATAAAACATATCATAAAATGTATTTTTAACACGTGTGATGTATTCATACACAACCGTAGTGGTCACTTACGTATCTAATGTGACAGTAAAACATGTATAATGTCACAATGTTTTGTTTTGGACTTTCAATTCATCAAAGAATACTGAAATATACTGTTTTCAACATTGCAAATAATAAGAAATGTTTTTTTTTCAGCAGCAAATCAGCATATTAGAATGATTTCTGAAAAATCATGTGACACTGAAGCATCCCCAAAATAACCCGCAACCCACCAAAATAAAAGCTTGAGGATTTTAGATTTGAAAATGTTGAATGTTCATTAAAAAAATAAACATTTAAAAAGTAAATATTAGCATTGTATTTTAAGTGTACTATAAAATAATTGTATTTTATTTAATACATTTTTAAATATAATAGTATTATAACAATTTATTATTGTTTATTAAAAAAAACGTTATTATTATTTTAATTTTCAAACTAACTAACTAACTAACTAACCAAATTAAGTGTAATAATAATTTAATTAATTATTAAAATTTTTATAGTTATATTTAATGGGTCACCCTATGTGACCACCAAACCAAATCTCCAGGTGCTCTCCTGAGAACCAGACTGAAATGTATTTGTTTTTACTGTATTTTTGATCAAATAAAGACAAAAGAACAAAAGAGACCATAAAATCTTACCAACCCTAAGCTTACATAAATATATAGTCTTTATTAAATTAACGTTTCTCTGAGTTTTTTGTGACTCACAAAAGAGTCATATGATGCGATTTCAGAGTAAAACTAACTCTTTTTTTTTTTTTTTTTTTACAGTGAATGTAGGTCACATGGTGTTCATCCTCAGCAGATCTGGCAGAACTGAAAACATAATTCATAACAATTCATTTTCTCTACAGGGAAACTGAATTTATCCATAATGCATAAACCTTTCAAGACTCTGAGCGCTCTTATAAAAGCATTGCAACTGGCATAATATTCACTGTATAAGCTCAAATAGCTTATATATTTCAATAATTTGCAATAAGCTTCGATTATATTGTGGTTAAAATTGCATAATTAGTAGTTCACTCCCTCACTGGTGTGGTTCATGGTTTAGAAGACTTTATTACAGAATGATATGAAATGCCAATGGAGAAAATTAATGGGAAAAATCATTCCTAAACAAGAAAAGTGGTCTCTGTTATGCTCTACTGACCAGTTTTGCTCTTTTTGTTGAGATTTACATGATACTGGAGCCTTGACTCCACTGAGAGTAACAGTTTTACTTCTACAACACCAAAGAAAGGCTATACTTACGCAAATGTTATGAATTGTTATGCATACCAACAGACACATATATTATAGACAGACAAATATACTCACTTATAAATCATCACCCTTCCTTGTCTTAATCAGCGGCACTGAATTTTGCTTACTGTTCAAAAATGCAGGAAAGAATATTAACGACTGTCTGATGCCCCGCCCACTGTCAGTCAAACACCTCCCACCTCTTCCTTCATAGGGATTACACACATTACAGTATGACTTGACTATTAAGATTAACTATTTATTTAGTCATACTAAAAGTAACAGTTAGTCATCTGATATTTTAAAACCTAATCATATCACAGTCAAAATAAGACACAGGCTTACTGGAACCTGGGTATTTGGGAAGTGACAAAAAAGGTACAAGGCTGCATTTATTTGATCAAAAATACAGAAAAAAACAATAATCTTGCAAAATGTTATTACAATATAAAATAATGGTTTCTATTTTAATATACTTTATTATTATTTTTATTATTTTATTATTATTTCTGTGATGCAAAGCTGAATATCCATCAGCCGTTATTCCAGTATAAAGTGTCACATGATCCTTCAGAAATCATTCTAATATGCTGATTTATTATTAGAATGATCAATGTTGGCTACAGTTGTGCTGCCAAATATTTTCTTTTTGGTAACTGCGATACTTTTTCAGGATTCTTTGATGAATAAAAAGTTTAAAAGAACAGCATTTATTCAAAAGATAAATCTTTTCTAACAATATAAATCTTTGCTATCACTTCTTATCGATTTAACAAATCCTTGCTGAATAAAAGTTAAAAAAAATTTCAACAACAACAAAAAAAAAAGAATACAATTATTTTTATATGTGTATATTTTTAGAAAATATTTCTATTTTAAATAAATGCTCTTCTTTTTAACTTTTTATTCATCAAAGTATCCTGAAAAAAAGTATCACAGGTCCAAAATATATTAAGCAGCTCAACAGTTTCCAGCACTGATAATAAATCAGCATATTAGAATGATTTCTGAAGGATCATGTGACACTGAAGACTGAAGTAATGGCTGATGGAAATTCAGCTTTGCATCACTGAAATAAATTATATTTTAAAGTATATTAAAATAGAAACCATTATTTTATATTGTAATAACATTTTGCAAGATTACTGTTTTTTTCTGTATTTTTGATCAAATAAATGCAGCCTTGATGAGCATCAGAGACTTACTGATACCAAACTTTTGAGTGGTAGTGTATATATATATATGGTCATTATTTTATGGTAGATATTTCTTACTATATAAGAAATAAAATCGAGATAAATACAGTTTAGAAAGGGCATGAGCATTGTGACATTGTAATATTACTGACTATGTCTCTCCCCGTTGGTAGCGGTTTGAGTCATTTTACATTTCAAACAGCACTTTTGCCTCTCTAGTGTCTAGGTTACACTAAAAAGAGTATCTTCTCATCCCGCTTTCATAAAGAGCACTCTTTGTTTCTGTTTCCCGTAATTCAGCAGCTGAGAAGGGCTGCAGGCTGCTGTTTCTCTCTCATCTTTCTGACGAATTACAGAAGTGTAATGGTTAAATGGCAGCTGACCACAAACAGTCAAATCTATACCACTTGTATTTGTTCCTTTACGAAACAAGTCAAGGGGTATTATTAACATGCTAACAATGCTAAGTTATATGGCGTATAGCGTGGATGGTGTATTTTTGTTATTCACAAACTAAACCAAAACAGTCTGCACAATGTGGAGTTTTAGTGTCTTAGTCTTATTTTTTTCACAAACATGTTTATATATAGATATTTTAGAATAGATATTTTCCTCCGCTAATCAATCGAGTACAACAAAAGTATAAACCGAGTATACATAACAGTATAATCTGTACTTCTGTCCCTCACAGCCTCAGTGTTGTTGGACTAGTCTTATTGCACAGTACTCTGAAGTAAGATAATATAATAATAACACAAAAAAGACAGACATACAGGAGCTTTAATTTCTCACAAACAAAATGACCTTCACCACTTCTATATAGGCCCATTTGCGCATCTACAGTGTGTGTGTGTGTTCCTGAGAGCTTTCAGTCTTTAAAAAATTCATAATGTCAAGTTCATCTGCCCATTCACATTAGCAGCTGTGTTTATAATACTAAAGGAAAGGTTAAAATTGTCTTAACCTCAGCTTTCCCTCTCTTTCTCTTTCACACACACACACACACACACTATATTTGTTTCACTATATTATTGAGTACATTTTTGAAAAGCGAGGACATTTTGGACCTCACTAGTCAAAAATGTTGGAAGTATAGCTACACACATTTACTAGGCCACTATAACCTAACCCTAACAGAAAACTTTCTGCAAAAAAAAAAAATCATTATTTTTATAACATGTTTACTAGGGATGCACCGATATTTATTGGCCGATTTTTAATCTGATTTTGAAAACAGAATAAAACTATATAGACTACATAAAAAGTAATATATAGGCCTATACACAAAATATATTTCACTTAAATCATTAACAGATTAACAAAACGAAAGAAAATAATTGTGCTGAGTTTCGGATAATTGTAACACGCTCCGAAGTACACTGAAAAAAAAACAAGATGGCAGAAAGCAGTTTTCTTTATTTTACAAAAGCTTTACAGTTTTGAATGATGTTTTGCTTCTATCTGTATTACAAAACCAGCATTGGTATGACCATAAATTACGGAGTAACAGTTAGGAAAACAATGCAGTGATCACATCAGTGATCACACTGATCACAGCCTCACACGCACATACAACTCATTTTTGCTAATTTGACATCGCAGCCTGTTCATTATCAAAATAAAATACAGTTAAAGAAACATAAAAAGTTACACTGCTCAATTTAAATAGTCTGTAGTACAGTCTGTGCCATTCAGTGTGACCAACGCCTCACTGCTGATATAGCCTATACTGTATTTGAAGTAGGGCGGCACGATAAATCGAAATGGAATCGAGATTGCGATTCGACAGAAGCTGCGATTGTCATGCGTATCTTTCAGTGAAGCACGGTTCTGTGATCAGCAGTAAATCTCCATCCAAAGGCCAGAGGGCACTCTTGCGCTGAAACTCCAAATACGCCTCGCAGAAGAAACCCAGAAAATGCCTATCGCTGCAGCTGAATAAACAGAAGATTCAACTGCTTTCATTGATTCAACGTGACTAATAAACACACGACTACAGCAATATGCAGTTTATCTGAGTTTTTATTA